CCATGTTGGCCAGGCTGGTCTCAAACTCCTGACCTCAGTGATCCACCCGCCTCAGCCTTCCAAAGTGCTGGGATTACAGACATGAACCACCTTGCCTGGGCTTGAACTGAACTCTTAACCGGTACCTTGGGCTTGCTCCTCTCAGGGCCTCTTTGCAGCAGCACCCTCCTGACCTCTCCTGCCTCTTTTTCTGTGCCCGCTTGGCTGGCTCCTCTGCTTCCTGCTACTCCTGAGGTAAATGTGGGCATTTCTGTAGGGTCCAGCCCTACGGAGTTTAGCGGGTGTTCTCCCCGTGTGCAGAGACGAGAGATTGTAAGAAATAAAGACACAAGACAAAGAGATAAAGAGAAAACAGCTGGGCCTAGGGGACCACTACCACCAAGACATAGAGACCAGGAGTGGCCCCAAATGGCTGGGCACACTGATACTTACTGCATACAAAACAAGGGGGGCAAGGTAAGGAGGGTGAGTCATCCAAGTGATTGATAAGGTCAAGCAAGTCACATGATCATGGGACAGAGGGCCCTTCCCTTTTAGGTAGCCAAAGCAGAGAGGGAAGGCAGCATACATCAGCGTTTTCTTCTATGCACTTATAAGAAAGATCAAAGACTTTAAGACTTTCACTATTTCTTCTACCGCTATCTACTACGAACTTCCAAGAGAAACCAGGAGTACGAGAGGAACATGAAAGTGGACAAGGAGCATAACCATTGAAGCACAGCACCACAGGGAGGGGTTTAGGCCTCCGGATGACTGCGGGCAGGCCTGGCTAATATCCAGCCTCCCACAAGAAGCTGGTGGAGCAGTGATCCCTGACTCCTCCAAGGAAAAGAGACTCCCTTTCACGGTCTGCTAAGTAACAGGTGCCTTCCCAGACACTAGCATTACCACTTGACCAAGGAACCCTCAAGCGGCCCTTATGCGGGCCTGACAGAGGGCTCACCTCTTGCCTTCTAGGTCACTTCTCACAATGTCTCTTTAGCACCTGACCCTATACCCGCCGGTTATTCTTAGGTTATATGAGTAATGAAACAAAGAGGAATATTAAAAGCTAATGATTAGTAATGTTTATACTAATGATTGATAATTGTCCATCATCATCTCTATATCTAATTCGTATTTTGACTCTTCTTATTCTGTTTTCTTTATTATACTGAAACGGTTTGTGCCTTCAGTCTCTTGCCTCGGCACCTGGGTAATCCTTCGCCCACACATTTCCAAGTGACTCCGCTCTCCTCTTGCCGTTCTCTTTCTACACACCTGCTCCAAGGTCTCACTGCCACTCCCTCAGCCCATCCCAGTGCCCACAACTCTCCTGTCTCTCCCCAGCCCTGACCTTTCTCGGGACACCCAAAGCTGCCTGCAGAATCTTTGCCTTCCCACTTGCCAAGTCTGAAATCACACTCAGCCTCCTAACCAATTCCACAAACCAACTCCTCCAACTGCCCTTGCATCATCAGAGGAACCCCAAGCTCTTAAAGTGGGCTCTGCCTCTCCTTCTTTCTAATAGCACTGCTCATGGTTGCATTTGTTCTTTTTTTTTTTTTTTTTTTTTGAGGTGGAGTCTCGCTCTGTCGCCCAGGCTGGTGTGCAATGGTGTGATCTCGGCTCACTGCAACCCTCACCTCCCAGGTTCAAGCAATTCT